TGGTATATAGCTTGCAGCTAATGAGTCAGGACCTACAGAAGAACCAGTAATTGGAACTGGTTTGATTGGCTGGGAGTAGATGAGTGAGGAGCAGGAGGAGGAGGGCTAGCCAGTGGAACTGTAGGTGCTTCCAGTGGCCTTATAAGGGGTGGTAAATCTGCCATGGAGAAATCCTCAGGAAGGATGGGTTTTTGTAAGGGAGTTTGTTTAGGTGCAGAATTGGTTTTGTTTCATTTTAACTCTGTAATCACTGGAAAAGCACTTTAAAAAATTCTGTAGGATGCATTCCAGAATTGTAAGACTTGAGTAATTAGATCCCATTCTGACTCCTTACATGTATGTGGTGCTCACTTGTCCAGTGATGCAACAGACAGTCAAAGGTGGCCTACCTTCTTTAATAGAGGACCAGTCAGGTGCTTTCATGGCTGCTTACCTCTTAGCACAAAAATCTGTCTTAGCAATAGGCATGAGCCATGGAACCAGAGGACAAGCCCACTCAAGCTGATAGATACAACTGTGGAGTTATACAAATGACTGTCTGAAGCAGCTGGATTTGCCAGGGATGTACTACATTGACTCACACATTCATTCAGAGATTAAAACAGTTCACCCTCCACCCAGAAAATAGAAATTGACTAGGAGATGCTCAAGTTCCTCTTTCAACCTTCATGTGGGATGGGCTGACTACCAGGAAAACAGAAAAACCCAGAATGGCCTTACCATGATTTGGAAGTCCAGATGGTTTCATTTCTTTCTTCCTTAGAGCCAGTGATGGAGGAGTGTGTCCCAGTGTGTGTCCTGGAGGCTTTCCCTGGAGGTTCCCTGGAGGGAACCTCAGAAGTCAGTCAGAGGGGCACATCTCCTATTTGAGTGCTGCTGGGGTGCAGAGTTGGGGATACCTGTCTCCAAGACTCACAGCAAGGGCTGTACATGTCTGTAGCTGTCTTTTCCACTTTCCAACCTAACACACAAGAAAATGTTTCAGGAAAAACTGAATCAATAGTAGCCAGGAGCTCAGGAGAAAAAATGAAATCTTATTAATGCTACTGAACTGCAGAGGAGTCATCTCCAAATTCTGAGGTGCAGAATTTGGTGATTACAGAGAGCTTGTCTTTTTTTACAAGAGGGCAAACAGAAGTTACAAGAATGAGACTGGTTTAGGTGAAGGTTATGGTATGATGTGTATCTATTGGGGTCTTGGCCTAGCTTAAATCTCCTAAACAAGTGAATGGTGAATGGCTAAAGCAAAAGAGACAAATGGTATGATTTTATAGTTCCAGGAAGGTCAAAACCCTCTATTGGAATATAACATTCCCTGGGAGTTGAGACAAAGAACTTTGTTGGTGGGCCTGTATTTATTTGGTTTTCAAACAAAGAAAGGGGATACTGAGGCAAGCCTGGGAACTGAGCAGGGACCAGTTCAAAGATTTCTCCAAGTAGTAAATTTTGTCAATTAAGAGAACTGTGTTATCTCTAAGGTTGGCAGCTTTATTACTCTGGAATCGGAGGTGTCAGTAGCCCATGTCCTTGATTGCCTCAGCTGTGCTTACCTTGACTTCAGAACACCATGCATATGCTTTTTTCCAACACTGCCAGAGGTCCTTGTGTTCAGCAGCTTTACCTTGTACAGTCCAGTTTCTAAAAGATAACTTGTGCTAAGCATAGTTTTATGTAGCAAAGTTGTTTTTAGCACATTCACAGAAGTTTCAGTTTGATGCCATATCATGTGTTAGCTGAGTTCAGTGGCAGAGTACAGAAAGACTGTAACTTTATTGAACAAAAGGACTGAAGTTAGGTCAGGATTTCTGCTTCAATTCCACTCTCTGATGTGAGCAGTGAAGTAATTTAAGACTGTTCTGCTCCTGGAGTTCAACCTGAGCCCTTTGAAATAACATAGTGGCCCTTACCTCATCCTTCTTTTCTATATGTCTACATGCTGATACATAACACCAGTTTACTTCACTCACTAGTCACTGGCTCTGCATTGTCCCTCAGGAAACAGTGTGACCTATTCTCATTGGTGCTTCTGACTTTTCCCTGCTTCTGTGACTGCTTGTGCCACCTGGGGTGCTGGAGTTGCTGGTTTCATCTGTGGTACCAGGGCTGCCAGTACTGCCTGTGGTACCAGGGCTACTGGTCCCTCCTGTGCCATACATGCCAGGGCTGCTGGCCTCTTAAAATCCCACTTCAAGGGAAATGCAACAATATACGTGGACAGTTCTCCTATAGGGGTTTAGAGACATTCCTCACCTTTTTGCTCAAACACTAGTAAAAGAGTTCAGAAACCGAATGCTAAACAAAGGAACCATCTTACAGTATGTAGATGGCATACATGACAGTCCAACTTAGGAGTTATCTAACCGTAACATGGTACTAATGTTGAAATTTTTAGCTAAGGAAGGATATAAGGTCTCCAAAGAAAAGGCTCAGATATCCCTCCAAAAAGTTTGCTACCTGTGATATATTCTTACACATGGGGAATACCATCAATCTAGAGTATGGATGCAGACTCTCTGTGAATGTGGTCCACTTGCCACCAAATGATGGCTTTATTCTTTTCTGGCTTTTGTAGGCTCTGGCTTCCGAACTTCTAATGGCAAAGACGTTACATGAAGCTGTCAACAGACCTGAGTCTGTATCTCTAGAGTGGTAAAAAGTGAGTGAAAATACCTTTAGAGAAATAAAGCATATCTTAACTCAGGGTCCAGCACTGGGAATATCTGATTTAAGAAAACCCTTCTTCTTTATGTATCGGAAAAGTGAAGAGTTGCTTTACATATCTTGACACAAAGATTAAGACAGGATACCCACCCAGCGGCACACTTTTCAAAAAAGGTGACCACCCTGTCTGAAAGCAGTATCAGCTACAGCTGTATAAACAAAAGTAGCTGCAATGTTAATTTAGGACACAGACTAGAAGTCTTGACTTCCCATTAGTTCAGAGTTATTCTGGAGATATAAGGTAAATTGTGGTTGACAGTGATAGGGCTAACTAATTATCAGGTCATGCTCTTAGATACCAGAGGCTATTACAAAATCTTTCCCTAATATTAATTCTGATTTTTTGATGACTAAAGGTATCAGAAGTTAGCCAGTCTTGTGAATAAGTCATATTGTAGACCTATGCAAGCAGACAGTATATCTTCCCTTCCATATAGCCTTCCCTTCCAAACAAAAGGCTCCTCACCCCTGATAACATGTGGATCACTGATGGAAATCACTTTTTTCAAAAAGAACATTGAAAAACAGGTTATGCAGGTTTCAGCTCTCAATAGGTCATTAGAGCTAAACGTCTTCCTCTAGAAATGTCTGCTCAAATAGCATAGCTAATAACACTTCCTCAGGCATTAATATTAGGAAAAGGCAAAAGTTAACACATCTATACAGATTCCACATATGCCTTTCTGGTTCTATACACCAGTGTAGCAATTTGGAAAGGAAGAACCTTGAAGACTCATAGATAATCATCTATAAAGCACATCCAGGAAATTCTATAACTCCTAGAGGCAGCTTCCCAAGTTAGTTCACAGTCATGTACAGCAAAGGTGCAAGAGAAACCTGTCTCAAATTTCCATGAAAAATCAAAACACTGATAGGGAAGTAAAAAGGGTATCCTTTCAGCTCCTTAAGACTCTAGTCTTATCCCCAGTTCCCCAGGAACCATTAAAACCAGTCTAAGCTCATCAGGAAATAAATGGGCCTAAGAACAAGGGAGAATTAAAAAGGGACTCGTATTGAGTAAACAAGCTAGCCCTTCGCCAAAGGACACAGTGGGAGGGACTAAAACAGTTCATTGCTCCTTCCATATGGAAAAAAATAGTCACATTGAAAATTCTCACTTGAGTTTTCACAGGACTAGGACTATCTGCAACCACATGATGAGTCAGCAAAGTTTGTGCCTTCTGTATAAAAACCTGGGTATGGTCAAACCACCTCCTTTATTACAACCTGTGCAGAAGATACGGACTTAGCCAGTAGAGGACCGGCAATTAGACTTTACTTATGTGCCACTATGTAGATGATTTAAACAGATGTTTGCTCTAATTTACACCTTTATGATTTGAATTGAAGCCTTTCTTACCCATTCCAAAAAGGCTATGGAGGTAGTCAAGGTGCAACTTAAGTAACTCATACCACTGAGCTGCCAGCAGTGAGTTCAGTTCTGGCAAACTGGTCTCAGGCCAGGGGGAATTTAAGATTATCACTCCCAGTGGTTAAGGACATGCCCAGATTTCAGCCACACTAGACTGGGCTCTGCAGGTTTTGGGCCTGCCTGGGCCATGCTCAGTGACCTTTCACTCTGGGGAACTGGACTAATGGAGTTGAGTTCCTGCATACCAGCTCAGGCCCCAGGAGAATTTAAGATCATCTTTCCCAGTGGTCAAGGATCCACACAGCTTCCAGCCACAATAGACTAGGCTTGGGAGATTTTTTGGCCAAACTAGACCACACCCACTGACCTTCTTCAATCAGGGAAGTTGAGGGAACATGAAGTGAGTTCCAGTGCACTGGTCCTTGCCTTGGGAGAGCATTGGATCATCATCCACAGTGATTATGTGCCCATCTAGATTCCTGGAACACTGGAGGTGGCATGGGAGGTACTGTGGGCCTGACTGGACCATGCTCAGCAACCTCCATTCATCGCCAAAAGCTGAGGGCATAGGAGACAATTTCTAACACACCTGGGGAAGCCTTGGACTAACACTTGAAACATGGAAACACAGGAAAATGACAAAATGAAAGACTAAAATGTAATCTCAAATACACGGACCATCCCAAGAAAGCCTAGGAGCCAAGTACAAGAAAATATATGCCATACACCTGAAATAACTGAAATAATAGCAACTGAAGTAAAGAAGCAATTCCAGGAAGTTTTAAATAAATTCAAACTAGAAATAATCTCCCAGGTAAGAGAAGAAATGATATTAATGAGAGAGATGCTGAACACATCTAAAGAAGACACAGTTAAAAAATTAGAGGAACAGCTTCAAGAGCTTTACCGGCTTGGCACTGGCTGGGGCAGAGATTCCGGGGCTGGGGGCGCCTTCCAGGGCCAGATCCTGGGCGAGCCGAGGACCGGGAGGAGCGCCGGGCGGTGTCTGCACCTGGAGCTTTCTGCGGACCAGCCGTGGTGCTGGGCAGGTTCCAGGAGAACATGGCGGAGAGATAACAGCTACTATGGAGGCTCTCTGAAAGGCTTGTCTCAGAAGTCAGGAAGGGTGCAGAGTAAGGAGACATAAGCCGGTGGAGATATGCTCTGCTGACTCAGGAATGAACTGGGCTGAGAGAAACCAACTTGGAATGCAGTCCTGGTGCTAAAACAGGAACAGAAAAACCTCAATGAGGAGGCTGGAGCCTGCGCCACTGGAAGCCACGATTTGGGTTTCCCGCTGCACGGCGACTGCCTCTACACCGGCTCAGCAAGGAGAGAGACGCGTGGAAGCTCTGATAACGGGAATCTGCAAACGGAGTCGAAAACAGGATGGGCAGGGAGGCGTGCACTGACTTGTGGTGAGGTGAGTGAGAGAAACTGACACTCTACCACAGTTTGACTCCAATGGAGGACATTCAGGGACTGGACAGACTTGCGGGAGCAGGGTGCAGTGGCAACTTCAGCCACAAATGCCCCTCTCAGGCGGGATTGGTGAGAGGTGCCTAGCCTATGTGATGCTGCTGGCAGACCCAGTAGCCTAGCCCAACCCAGATCCCAGAGCCTGACGGTGGCCTTGAGGGGCAGCCCCGCAAAGGTTGCCTGGTCTGGAACTCCCTGGTGTGCTGCGGTGCGCGGGAACACCTAACCGGCACAATTCAATCAGACTGTGGCTGACAGGGAAGGAAGCTGGGTCTCCTATATACGCTTGCATATATAAGGAACAAAGAATATGGGGTTAGAAAGAAAGGCTCCTCAGCCCCCAATTCTGAGAAACAGGTAATAGCGGACACCACACCAACAGACATAAAGGGCCATATAGAGAGCCTCATAGATCAGTTCAGGAATGAAGTTATCAATGACCTGAAGCTAGAAGTATGCAGAATAGTTAGAGAAATGCTAAGCACCACCCAAGAAAAAACAGATGGTGGAATGGAAGAACAGAAAAAGAGGGGAGAATTGTTTAATGGAGAAAACAGAGAAAGCATAGAATACGTGAAGCAGGTTCAAAGGGAATACCAAGAAACTAAGAAGTCTATCGAAAACTGGCATAACAGCTTGAAAGAAACTAAGGACAGACTATCTGAACTGGAGGGCAGATTTGTAATATGGGAGAATGAAATGAAAAACTTCTTAAAAATAACAAAGAAACAAACAGCAATAATACAAAGACAAGAAGATGATAAGAGGAGCCATAACTTAAGGATTAAGAACATAAAAGAAGAAGTAGGGACACAAACAAATGAACTACAAAAGCTACTCACAGAAATAAACCAGGAGAATGTTCCTAATTTAGCAAAAGGTAAAGATACTCAGATGTATGAGGCATACAGGACCCCAGCTACTTACAACCCAAACAGAGCAACACCCAGGCATATAATAATAAAAATTCTAGAAATTCAATACAAGAACAGAATATTAAAAGCTGTCAGAGACAAGAAACAGACCACTTACAAGGGAACATGTTGGGAGCCTGCCGTATTACCCATGAGAATATAGCCACAAGATGGTGTCCGCCTACCACCTCGCTGCTCCCCCGCCCATCATGTGCCCAAGATGGCGCACACATCCTGCTTCCTGGTTCTTGCTCAGCTTACTGTCCCCACCATATATATGGTAATGATTGATTGCTTCCTTGTTGCCGCCCAATCGCCTGTCCCCACGTGTAATCCCATGATTGGATAACATTAGCTATATAAGCCCAAGTATAGGAAGTGCCCGACGCACAACACGGAAGAAGCCGTCGAGGACGGACATGTATTGAGGTTGCTGCCCAGTCAATAAAGGTGCTTGCAGAGGCTAAGTGTTCGTGTGCCACATTCCGCGGGACGGAAGCGGCTCCGGACAGGAACACCCATCAGAATTACAGCAGATTTCTCTGCACAAACCATCAAATCACGAAGAGCGTGGGGGGAAATAATTCAAGCTTTGAAAGATAATAATCTCCAGCCAAGATTGAGATATCCTGCACAACTGTTCCTTGAAATTGATGGAAAAACAAGGTGCTTCCAGGATAAAGAGGAACTGGAGGAATTTGCAACCACCAATTCAACTCTACAGAGAGTATTGCAGGATACTCTAACAAAAGAAAAATACAAAGGATCCAGAAATAGTGGCAGAGAGGCCACAACGAATGGAGCAGAGAACAAAATGAAGAAGACAAACTGACAGCTACTGACAGAAAAAGAGCTCAACAGAAATGAGGCAGAGAAGATTGGATGATAGGAACAGCTATTTTGGAGAAAATGACATCTTAATAGGTAATACTGATTTAGTATCATCTTGTTTTGAAGTCTCATCAAGCTTTTGTTCTTCTGTCTCCAATGGTCTAAATAGGTTGTATCTTATTGGATTTTATTATGTACGATAGTATAAGCAAAAACCTTTTAAAGACAAGGAGATTATACAGAAACCATTGTTCATTTGCTGTTAGTCGATTCTAAATACCCTGTAATGCTGTCATTCTCTTAAATGGTTGTACACTATTTTGATATATTTAATGCTACAGTATACGAAGTTGTACTCAAGGATTTCGAGGAAAGAGACAATATGGTAACTACTTTTATGTCAGGATTATCTGGTGGTGAAACACTATTCTGCTAAAATGGTTATGTTTTGATCTGCGCTGTTTTGCTGTTATGCACTCTTTTATCTCAATCTCCACTCCATCATTTACTTTTTTTATTTCTAACCTTTTAATTAAGGGAAAATAAATAAAAATATCAGGATATATTATAGTAACCCACTTTGACTTTCCGTTATCTCGATTTAAAGCCCTGTATTACTCTCACCATCTTGTTTTTGACTGATGTTCCCCTATTCTGTTTTGCTGGATAGTATCAGGTTCGAAAGTTTAGACAACAGCTGTGAAGATAATGCGATTTATTATGATGCCCATTCTCGTTGAGTTTTATCTAGTTTTGAAGACCTACAATGTCTCCAGTGTTATGGTTTTGTCGGTTTTGTTCTTTACTGTTTTGTTCAACTTTATTATAACTAATGATGTAGGCAATTCTTTTTTTTTATTTTATTTAAGAGGAAAAAGAGAAAAACACAAAATAAAACAAAGTGGTGTAAGGGTACACGTAATACAGAACTACAAAAAAAATAACAGTAAGAAATCATCTGTTAATAGACTACCTATTATCATCTTGAAAATAGTTGCTCAAATCACAGTATCAAAGAATACAAGGTGGACATTCAAACAGGGAGACTGCAAAAAGCTGTGTTCAATGATCCAAAAACATTGATATAGTCAGGTATTTAACACCCCTAAACACACTTGCTGTTATATCCATTAGAGCTGTTTTTATTTTTTTCCCTCTCTTTTTTACAACAAAATTTACACATTTTGGATTTTATTACTCCTTAGTGCTTATTACTTTTTTGGGGGGAGAGAATACAGTCAAATATGGCAATACAAACCTGTCAGTCAAAACTAAGGGTAGACATAGCACATGGTGTAGAACAGAGTACAAGGTTATCAACAATGGTTATCAACGTTGTCTCTTGTTTCCTTAAAAAGAATTGTCTATCTCATTAGATATTATAAAGTTGGACAAAACAGTAGAGAACAAGACTAATAAAACTTAGGCATTGTAAACATTACAGGACTTCCAAAGAAGACAATAGTCAAACCAGAATGGGCATTTTAGTGAATCTTATTGCCTTCAAAGTAGTTGCCTATATCCTCAAACTTGATACTATCATACAGAATGGAACAGAGTCTAATCAGTAAAAACAAGATCGTAGGAGTATTACAGGACTTCAAAACAAGTTAATAGGAAATCAAAAAGAGTTACTATTTATATCTCCTAATTTTTTAAATTTTTTCCCTTAAGTAAGACAAACATAAGAAATGACTAAATAATTTTTTTTAAAAGAATAAGGGGGAGATTGAGATAAAACAGGACATAACAATATAACAATAGAGGTTAAAGCATGACTGTTTCAGCAACCTAGTACTTCACCACCATATAACCCGACTTAATAGTAGTTACCATAGTGTCTGTCTTTTTCCTTGAAATATTTGGATAAAACTTCATATACTCTAGCTTCAAATATTTCCATATCAAGAAGCCCAGAATAAAGCCATTCTAATTAATGAGTGAAAACTTTATAAGGCTTCAAGGCCACATAATGGGGAATCATTATTACCATATATTTTTATATATTTGTATATTTATATATTTATGTATTTTTATTTTTATATATTTGAATCATTACTTACATTAGGGAAACTATTCGGTATTCACACATGTGAGATTGATTTATTTCACTTCTGAGTATGGTCTCAAGCTGCGCCCATTTATTGATAAATATCTCAATGTGATCCTTCTTTATAGCTGAATAATACTCCATTGTATAGAAATACCACAACTTTTTTATCCATTCCTCAGTTGATGGACACTTGGGTTGTTTCCAAGATCTGGTGATTACAAATTGTGCTGCTATAAACATAGGTGCACATTTATCACTGTGGTATGATGCTTTCAGTTCTTCAGGGAATATGCCTAGAAGTGGAATAGCTGGAATAAATGGGATTTCCAATCCCAACTTTTGAGAAATCTCCAGACAGATCTCCACAAAGGCTGCACCAGTATACACTCCCACTAGCAGTGCAGGAGAGTTCCTTTTTCCCCATAGCCTCTCCAGCATTTGTTGTTGTTGGTTTTTTTGATCCTGGCCATTCTTTCAGATGTGAGATGGTATCTCAGTGTGGTTTTAATTTGCATTTCTCTAATGACCAATGATGATGAGCATTTTTTCATGTATTTATTTGCCATTTGCATTTCTTCATCTGAGAATTGCATATTCATCTCAGATGCCCACTTTTGGATTGGATCTTTGAATTTTGGAGGTCTGAGTTTTTTTAATTCTTTATATGTTTTAGACAAGAGTCCCTTGTCTGAGAGAGAGTTCACTAAAATCTTTTCCCAGTTTGTGGGTTTTCTTTTCACTATGCTGGAGATTTCTTTTGACATGCACAAACTTTTTAATGAGAAAT